GGGTACTTTATCCGACACATGAGGACAGATGGTAAGGCTTGTTAGTATGTAGTATTTTAAAGCTAAGGGGTACTTTATCCGACACATGAGGACAGATGGTAAGGCTTGTTAGTATGTAGTATTTTAAAGCTAAGGGGTACTTTATCCGACACATGAGGACAGATGGTAAGGCTTGTTAGTATGTAGCATATTAAAGCTAAGGGGTACTTTATCCGACACATGAGGACAGATACCCCCCCTACGGATTCAGGTATAGTTATTTCTAATTCTTAATTACAACTCATGGGGAGGGCAACCAGTCAGAAGCGCCTGTCGCCTACGCGGCTACTCTAAGCAGAATTGACTGTCACAGTTATAACACCTCCACAGCTGGGAGTACGGCCCTGCTGCACCCACCCACATTATTGGGCCAGGCCAGGCCACGCCTGGAGGCAGGTTATCCGTAATAACTAAACGTCTTATATAAAGGCAAGAATTAAAAAACAACAAATAAATTAGTACAGATTACGTTATTACAGAAAAAGAGTGAAAATATTACGGAATAGAAACTACATGGCAGTAATTTATCTGTATAGGATGTTAAATTAGAATTCTATTGAGTTTCTGGAAATAACAAGTCGCCAATTATGGAAAAACGTTCAATTCCTCTTACCACTTGGTAAGACCAAGTAGGACCTGGTAGGCCTAGTAGGACCTGGTGCTTAGGGCGCTCGACTCACACATTGCGAATTCGAATTCCGTCACCGGACACGCTCGCCATTTCAGCCGTTATAATATGACGGTCAATCCCACTATTCGTGGCCCAGCATGGCCAGGTGGTTAGGGCGCTCGACTCTCAATCTTAGGGTCGCGGGTTCGAATCCCCGTCCCACCGAGCATTGCTCGGTAATTCCACTATTCGTTGGTAAAAGAGTAGCCCAAGAGTTGGCGGTGAGGGGTGATGACTAGCTGCTTTCCCTCTAGTCTTACACTGCTAAATTAGGGACGGCTAGCGCAGGTTTGCGCGAAATTCAAAACAAACAAACCCACTATTCGTTGGTAGAAGAGTAGTCCAAGAGTTGGCGGGAGGTATTGTTGACTAGCTTCCTTTTCTCTAGTATATCACTTCAAAATTAGGGGCGTTAGCGCAGGTAGCCCTCGAGTAGCTTTTCGCGAAATTCAAAACAAACAAATCAAACTTTCAGTTTAGCGACATTGTACCATTTAAGCTGCCCTGTCTATGTAAGAAGTGCTTCCCTCTGTAGGACAAATCGAAAAAATATTTTGAAAAAAGTTATTATTATTGTTGTTTGTTTTAGAGCAAAGTCACATTGGGCTATATGCCGGATTTTCGCATTGTAAGTTCGCATACTTACCACTGTCCCACCAGGAGACATTAGAAAAAAAATATATAAACTTGTCAATAATGGCATGTGTACAGGGTGAACGGGACTGTGAACTTTCTAGTATCAGTAAAGGACGATTGATTTAACAATAGTCATGTTTGGAATTTTTTCTTCCTTTTATTTTAATAAAATACAATAATGTGTGAATTAATAGTTCTAATAATTGACAGTTTTTCAAATTCCATCTAATTAGTTTTTGTTGTTGTTTTTCTGTGTTCACAGCGACCTGAATTATTGAAAGATTTCTGTCTTAATATTTGAACCTCCACAAAATCTTCGAGCGTTCGGAACTTTTTGAAACATGATACGTATTCTGCACGTTGTGTTGTTTGAACAAGAAACTAAATCTCTGAGTTTTTCATTGACGTTCGTTTATGTATACTTTATTCATATTCAACGTATCGCACTATTTCATATTTACCTTCCTCCCCCCTTTTCAACTTAATTCTTGGCAACTCCACTAAATTAAAAAAAAAATCGAAAACTTGTATCAAAGACTAGGATGGTTTGTGGAATTGTTTCTCAGCTTTCCACGTGACGAACAAATCGATATCAATGATCCAACTGGTCTCCGTTACTGTTGTCTAGTCACGTGGAGCGCGCAGCAAGCACACTAACGCAGCTGGCGCGCGCCAGACAGGACATTACCCTTCTATCCTTGGCTCGTAGCATCATGCCAGTTGGAGCATGATGCGGGGAGGAAACAAAAAATCTGAGCGTTGCGTGATCAGCTTACGAAGACATAACAAACTAACAACTCCAGAGAAGGAAGCCACCGAGTAGTGAAACAATTTCTTGTTATATACAAATGATTAAATACTACTTCGTCAAACCATTTGGGCCAAATGGATGATAAACACGGCAGATTTATCAGTAATTATAAGGCGTGAAAAAAAAAAGTCCGCATTTTCTTTTCCGCTAAAGTCGAAAAAAATAACCACGACGAAATAAGTTGTACTTTTACCATCCGACCACCGGTGGGTCAGCGGTAAGTTTACGGACTTACGACGCTAAAATCCGGGGTTCAATGTGACTCTAAAACAAACAAACAAATACTTCACCATTTTATCACAAAATGGCCAGGTGGTTAGGGCGCCCGACTCATAATCTGGGGGGTCGCGGGTTCGAATCCACGTTCCACCAAACGTGTTCGCCCTTTCAGCCGTGGGGGCGTTATAATGCGATGGTCAATCCCACTATTTGTTGGTAAAAGAGTTGGCGGTGGGTGCTGATAACTAGCTAGTTTCCCTCTAATCTGACACTGTTAAATTAGGAACGGCTAGCGCAGATAGCCCTCGTGTAGCTTTGCGCGAAATTCATAACAAACCAATCATAAACTATCTTGTGATATTTGTAATATAAAAATCCTTGCGACACGTTTTAATTGGAAGACTATATAGTGTTTTTCATATATAAACATGTTTGCGTCTTTTCCATTGGTGCGAGTGAAAAACTCGTGTATCAAGATAAAGGCAAATGTTGTAAACAGACCAAAAAAAAAAAAGGTAGTACAGTAAGCAACTTGGTTTTTGTGTGTGTGTGTGTGTGAACGTAGGTATCTGTCTACAGTTTGTGGCTATTTGTACCGACCCTTATGTAGGTCACGGTGCTATCAGCGAGGGTGGGGCAAAGAATCACGATTGACCCACTATACACTATTTACTTGTTTTCATTTTAAGATCTAGACAAGCTTTACAAAAAATAACGGGACTCATGGGAAACCGTTAAGTATAACGGAACCCCCCTCCTCTCACCCCTGGAGGGCCAGAAAGTGACCCCATTTTAGTTGACTCTTTCTTTTGACCAGAGCAATGAGGTTGGGGGGAGTTGTTTGTGTTTTTATTTTTGGATCCATTACCTCGAACCTCTGAACTTATTTCGTTTGTTGCGATGGTCAAATGTCGTGGTTTTTATTTTTAAGATGGCGAACCATCCAAGCTAGTAAACAACGGATATTTGAGGTTTTCCTATTACAATAACAATACATATAATTTTAGCTACACATTTAACGAACTTTTCGACCTCCCGCAAATAAATGAATTTAACCTTCCTTAAAATTAACTTGGCTTTCAA